ATTAGCTGCTAATGGTAGCCACCAGAGTGTATCGCAGCTTCCGGTTCCGGGGCATTCTGGCTGCGCATCACTCATTCACCAATGGGTAATGTTTAGATGGATTTTAGGAATTCCCCCTCGATTCTATAGGCTCTAACGGCTCAAAAGAGATGTCAATCATCAAAATCGAACGAGGGGGGCCAGAGATATGGAAAATGCACCCAAATGACCCCAGAAGTGGTTTCTCTTTTTCAAAACAAATGATTGGGTTTAGCTTCTATATAGAGATGTCCCGATCCGATCACGTGATCGGGGATCGGAATTGGGAGAAAAAAATCGGGGATCGGGAATTTTTTTTTTTTTAATTTAATGTTACAAAACAAAAATGACCATGTTCACGTCTTAAAGTCATCCTGAGGCCTTAGTTTTGGTTTAAAATTACACAACATCATGTATGTGTTGCTTCTTTTGGGCTTGTTTTCATAGACCTGGTTGCTTATTTCTCTCAAATCTGGCAACAGAGTGGGCAGGGCGCAGTGTCTAATAGTAGCAGTAAGCTAACAAGAGGCTACGTTCAGCTGGTGCCTCGGGACTCGGGACAGAGAAAATGTCAGGAGTTTGGAAGTATTATAAAATTGAAACAGAAGGCAGTGTAACAGCCAGATGCAATGTTTGCAAGGCGGAGGTTCCGCGTGAGAAACAAACACCAACAACAACACGACGAGTACACAGCGGCCACTCAGGTAACGGCACTGAAACAACTGACACTTTCAGAGACTTTTAAAAGGAAAGAGAAACTGCCCCAGAACAGTGAAAAGGCCAAAAAAATAACAGCCAAGATAGCTGAATTCATCGCGTTGGATGACCAGCCGTTATCTGTTACCTTTTTTTTCTCTTAATGCATTGCATAAAGATCGGATCGGGAAAAATCGGTTTCGGCAGATTGTCAAAATCAAATGATCGGAATCGGATCGGGAGCAAAAAAAGGTGATCGGGACATCCCTACTTCTATATGCTTGACTTTCTTCAACCGCTACTTGCTAACGTTTTTTCCCGTTGTTTGGCACAGAGGTCTTTAAAAGTCATAAATAGTATTATACCCTTTCACTGATGATAATTCATATCCTCTCTCTGGTTCTTTTGAAGACAATCATCTGTTAGTGACATTATAATGGGGACTTGTCCTCATGCATCTCCATTCCTTCCAATTGATTCCTATCCAACACACACTCATTCATATCGATCCAGCTTCATCTCCTATTCATTCCCAATCATTCCCTTTCTATCCTAGCCTCTTGCACTCTGCATTCACAGCGTGACGGCAGTAGCCTTGACATTTTATTAATTCTCCAATAAACACCTTCTTTGTTGTGCGGTTGTGTGTGATCCTCCACAATCATTATCGGAATTCTAGCAGTCCACGCTGTTGTCCCCAGTTGCCCTCTGCCGCTCCCGAAACCCAGACAAATGGTAAATATAACCTTTAGTGGGCCAGACATGCTTACACACACATCCACACTCCAAGACCTTTATAGATCACACATGAAAAGAGTCAAAAATGGGGATTTCCAAAAATGAGTTCTCAAACTTTATTTTAGCGGCTCTGCTATATTAATTTCCAGACCTGCTGGCCATGTTTAATGCATCAGGCAGCAGATAAGCCTGGTGGTTAGGGAGACAGGCCCATAACTAAACAGTACCAGATTTGATCCCTAATGTGTGGAGATATAATAATGACTGAAGTTTGGACGCTCAAACTTTGAAACGCTGCTCGTTATCTGTTAAAGTAAAGCATCATATTTGCAAAGTGGATATTCAGACTAACTATTTATCACCTTAATACAAAAATGATGCTTGGGAATTACTGTTTATGTTAAGAAGATCCCCGGAATGTAAGTGTCGGAAAATCCTAGGGCGTTAAGAAAAAAGCAATTTCTGAAGATAAACAGTTTGCATAGTTGTTAGTGTTTTATCATGCATATAGTTCAGAATGTGGTATCAACACTTGCTGTTTTAGAGTTTCATCATTTGAACCACTACATATTCATTGTTAAGCTGAATATCTTTTATACACGTTGAATTATAAAATGTAATCATCTAATACAAAACAGGGATTTATAAAGAGGCCCTATAATGCTTCTATAATTTCCCGTAGTGTGTTATACAGGTGTCTGCGCATATAAATAATCAGCAAAGGCTAAAATCTCAAAAATCACCCCCTGCCCGAAATGCCTCAATTGGACTCCTTTGTTTACTACATACTTAAGCGTAATGTTGTTTAGGGAAGTTTGTGACATTAAGATGACGTTATAAGACGCGTATCTTGCCATGATTTCTAGCTTGATGTACGTGTATTTTTTCGCAATAGAAATCCGTGAAATTGATATACTGTACCTCAAAATCGCAATGTCTATCTTCAGACTTTGACATGCAAGCTCGTAAGAACTTAATCAAAACGTTACAAGTTCTTTCAAAAAACCTTTATTTATCCAGGTGATTTTTATTTAGCTATGATTTTGCCAAAACGCCTGCAAAATTTCAATATGTTTTATAAGTCATATGGCAAATGAATTGGGAATTGCAGCATCACTGAGGAAATGTTGGCTTTGAAGTCCTTTGTTACTGACAGCGGTGGGCTGCTTTCTTCAAATGTATTTTTCATGGTTCTTGATCCGCTGCTCTTTGATACCAATGGAGAGCCCATTAGACAGTCCGATGACATGCTGGTTTGACTGTAGAAGGTAATTTCCAATTTCCTTCAATCTCTTTATAGAACAGTAAAGGGGGAAGTGGGAAAGAAATTGAAAAGCCCTTTCATTCTCTCTCGCTTGATTGACCAGAGATGTCAGTGAAAAGTGAAATATGAGCACATTTCTTTATACACTACCTACATAATAGTTAGAAGAGTATTCCAATATGCAGCGTTTTTTTTTCAAATGTTCACTTTTAGGATAAGGGCATAAGGCTGTTTTACATATTTGTGGAAAGAGCCTTTTAGTTTTAAGCTTTTGATTATGCTTATGAGACGTGATGGTGACCTTCCCAGCGGGCGGAACTTGTCATAAAGTCGACGATAATAAAGCCCACCCATTTAGAGGGAAGATATGATTGGTCAATTGTACTGTCATTTGACATTACTCTCTTGTTGAGTTACCCTAGCTGGCCCTCAGCAGGACCACCAATCAGCTCCTATCTTCACATTCTCACAGAGACGAGCTTCTTTCATTTAACCCTTCACATTCCAACAGAAACTGAATAGGCAGATTCGAAGGATTTATTTCTTCTTGGTAAAACTAATGAAAAATATTTTTAAAAAGAATATATATTTTTTAATGTTTTTAAATATTATTTTGTAGAATCGAATCAAATCAAATCAAATCAAGGTTTATTTATAGAGCACATTTAAAAGCGATTTTTGGTCGGGCCAAAGTGCTGTACATGTAATAACTACAATCACATAAAAACACATTTCTATAAGCACAATAAAAGACAATAAATTACAACAGATATTTAAAAAGAAAACACAGGGAAAAGTCAGGAGTCGTGCTCCGCTCTGACTAAAAGGCCAGGGAGAAGAAGTGTGTCTTAAGAGTAGATTTAAAAACCCCTAGGGTCTGGGCCGACCTCACATGGAGGGGCAGAGTGTTCCAGAGCCTAGGGCCAGCTGCTGCGAAGGCTCGGTGCCCTCGGGTTTTGAGCCTGGTCTTGGGCACTATCACACTGATAAAAGTAAAACGTTGGATCAACTAAAAAAAATTAGAGTAATCGATCACACGAAATATTTTACATTGACTCAATGAAAGTCCATTTCATCAGATCAATCTGTATATTTTAACTCCAGGCAAACTATTATCTGATAGTGAAGTAAACCAATTATTTTACGTTGTCCTAAATGAAAAAAGTGTGTTGTTGTTATGGACTGAATGTAAAAAAAACATCCAGTTGAACCTGAAATAATTAAACTAAATTCAAAACCATTTCTTAACTAAATCAAACCAATTATTTTACATCGTCTCAAATATAAAATGTAAGTTGTCAGTATCTGAAATGTATAGCAATTTAAAAATGTTATGATTATATTGCATTTAATGACAAATAACAAATTATTTTAGAGCACATTTATTTGAATGTAAAACAAGTTGTTCACACTGTCACTACCCGATCTGCATCCCTGCCCGATCTGCATTGTGCATGTGCGAGATGGTCCGCCATATTGGACAACTCCGTACGGCACCCCAAATAGGACACTTGACACAGTGGCATTTGGCAAAGCACAAAAAGAAAACTCAAAAAACCGAGAGAGATGAGTTATTGTTATTACAACGTGACTTCACTGGGTTCTTTTATTTGGGGTTAAGTACATTGTCAGAATAAGTGAAAAATGAATTTAACTTCTGTTAGACAATGTACTTAACCCCAAATAAAAGAACCCAATAAAAAGAGTTGTTAAATAATAGTGAAGTCACGTTGTAATAACAATAACTCATCTCTCTCGGTTCTTTGAGTTTTCTTTTTCTGCTTTGCCAAAAGCCACTGTGTCAAGTGTCCTAGTTGGGTTGCCGTACGGAGTTGTCCAATATGGCGGACCATCTCGCACATGCGCAATGCAGATCGGGCAGGGATGCAGATCAGGTAGTGACACACACAACCAGCTTTGGCCTCTGAGGCAGCCATTACCTGATCTTAAGCAGACATGTTAATAAGTACCACAGTTAAAATGCAGTAATATGCGCCGCTTCCAAACATCAAACTCTTAGAAAAAGGACTTGTCCTGATAATCAACTGCACACTTTTTTAAAGCAACACTGACAACTTGCGCCTGTGAGACATGTAACCTCTGAAAATGAGCAGACATGCATAACTTCTACAGTGAAAATCTGTCTACTGTAAGTGCAACTTCTGAACACACAAAACTTTTTTGCACATTTTTTACAATGCATAATTATTATAAAACCTTGGTTTTAGAAACCTTACCATGCAAGAACAATGGTAACTGCAAGTGAGTGAGTGCAACAAAGTGTCTACTCTGGGAGGAACAGCTGGGTTCTCAGTCTATTCACTTTTGGGCTCATCTTTTTTCCCTCAAGCTCCATCAGGACTTTTTGCACAACTTCAAAAGTGGATTGCAGTTCTTTAGGATATCTTAAGTTCAGTGCGTATATGAGCCCGAAGAGCATGGCAAAAGCTGTCGCAACCGAGGGCAAGCCGCTGAGGACCTCTGTTCCTTCGATGAGAACCTTGACGTCTTTGGGTCGATGAAACTGATCCTCTTTCCCAATGACAAAGATTGCCATTGTTGCCTGCTCCAGTTCTCCAGCCTCAGCTTCCTGCATATCATGCAAAAAAAAAGGGAAATGGATGAGGACCACAGAGTGTAGTTCAACAGGCCTGAAGCGCAAACGTTTCTCCAAATTTGCAGCTACCTTTTAAAAAAACAAGATTATACTGGATAGATGAAAAAAGGAAAGTTCTCAGTTTAGTCGGATGGTGGCCCAAGAGGAAAGCTCAGGAGGTCATCAAAAATTACTAGCTTTCTAACCAAGCAGTTATTTGCATGCAGTACAAATATGTTATTTTTCTTTTATGAACAAACATCTTGTGAGTGAGTGGGAGGTCTTACCTGGAATTCTTTGATGAGATGGTCAACAGGTTCACCCAGGTAGATCATTAGAGATTTGAGGATGCATTCTCTTCTGATGGTGATGTCCACAGTCTGAGTAAGAACAGTTATATATATATATTTTAAATCAAATGCAAAAAAAAGGACTATTCAGCCACTGATCCCACAGATAAAAAACTCATTCATAGATACCTCATCTAAAACCTGCAAGATCCCGGTGGTCTTCTGTTTCACAACTCCTCCCCTGCTCCTGATGACCTGCAGCAGTTTGGTGGAGTGTTTGTCCAACTGCGCCAAGAACTTTGTCTCCAACGGAAATGTTGTTATGCGCATGAACTCAGCATTTACCTAGAAAATATAAGCAGCATAGAAAACAAAAAACACTGAGAATTTATAATACACATATTTTTTATAAAGAGCCAACGTTTTGATTAAAAGTACTCCAAGTCAGCTTGTATGAATGTAACATTTAAATTAATTAATCCACATATTTATTGAAAACCACCACCAAATAAAGACACAAAGAGTCATAGATGTAAAGCTTATATTGTGATATATATTAAAAATAAAAACGTCAACATATTTGCCTAGGCTGTCTATAGTTGTTAGTTAGTTGGGCCCTCATTTCTTCTCCACTACAAGCTTACAATCAAGGGTTTCATCAAAAATAATTACCTCTTCCATGTGAAAAAGTGCAGGCCACCGCTCCAAGAGGCCTTCAATGCTTGGCCTCTGATGCACTATTTCTTGTCTTCGGTATCCAAACGTCTTCGCCATCTTTTCTTTTATTGATTGCCGGTTGTTTCTTTTCTGTTGTTCTGCCAAAAGGGAAATTCTCTCTTGCTCCATACTTTCTGGAGTCTCACCAATCGGCAAGGATGGAAAATAGTTGGCCTCAGCTCGCCTGGCTCTCTTTAAATTCTTCGCAGGGTAGGACTCTTCTTGAGACTTGGTCTTCAACGAGTTCACAGCGAGCTCTGCAGATGTTCCGTGTGCTCTGAGTAGAGTCCGGTAGTTGGCCATTTTTACCTTCATCCTTTGTTTCCATCCATAGCTCTCATTGAAAGACCCTGGTTCCTTTAGGCAGGGATGCTTGCTTGTCAATGCCTCAGCAACATCGCTAAAGTCAGCATCTGTAGGGTATGCTTTGTATGTGTAGACTTTATCAGCCAGTTTCTCGAGTATGTCTGAAAGCATTTTTGAGCTTAGTGTCAGTCTAGATTGGTTCTTTGTGTACTCTGCATTTCCTCTCTGTAATTGACATTCTGTGTCATAGGAGAAGACCGGGATTGGAAACACTTTAGGCCACTGCTGTGTTCTTAATGATTCCGAGGAAGAGCTGCTAAGTAGTACTGTGTCATCTGTATTCACAGATCCAGAGGAGGAGTCTTCACTGTACAGTCCACTTGTAGGGGTACTATTTAATGGTATCTCAACTGGGTACAAGACCACAGTTGTAGAATCGGGGTCTAATTCGACAACTTTGATCACTGTTAAATCTTTTATCGCATTTGTCGATGTAAGATTAACAAATGTGTTCCCAAAATCAGTGTCTTTGTACTGTAGTCTTATGTAACCTTCTAATCCACATGAATTCTTGACCTCCTCAATGAGCTCTTCTATTGAGTTGGGAATCCCATTTCGAAGCTCCAGTCTTACGCTGTTGTCGTCGTTTAAGATGATCAGCAATCGAACAGGTGGTTCAATATCAGCCATGGCGCTCTAAGAGAAAGAGAGAAATAGAGAGAATTAATGAAATGCAGGTGTACACTCAATGAATTTTTTCTTTTCAAATTGCATTGTGTTATACTTTACAAAGTATTACATACAAAGTTCATATATATATACTCATTCTGACCTTATACATGAATGTATCTTTTAAGAGTTATCAGCCGCATTCCCCCAACTGTATAGTCAGCCAATGGGTATGGATCAGTCAGTTCATTTGAGTCAAGAAGTTCCACCTTCTTTGTAGGACACGGTTTCAGTTCATAGGCTCTGTAATGTTCCCTATACCATGCACTCAGCTTTCTGACGATGAAAAGCAGCTTATTCTTGATAACAATCATCTGGATTGTTTCCGTGAATTCCGGCAGCCCTGCCAAAGAGCCATGTGCCAGGATCATCCCAATCCTGTAATTTATGCGACTGTAAGATGCATTTTTGACCAAGCACACAGCATCTAAGTCTGGGTGCCTCTGCTTAATAGCAAATGCAATGTCCTCTTTCAAAAGGTCAATGGGAAGAGTTGAAACACTTGCTACCTCCAGGGGGGATTCAGGCAAGCTGGACAGGTAAAGGTGATGTGCCATGAGAAACTGATGTCGTTCAGCTAATGACAGTAGCACATTTCTGAAGCAGGTGGAATGCCGCACAACTCTTTTGAAATAGCTGTGCTTTGCTTCAAAACGCATGGTCCATAGCGCAACCAATGGCCCGAACTCACAGATTAACTGCGGATAATGCTCCAAGAAATGGTGTTTAGGTCGAAAGTTTGAGTCTGGGAAAACCTCCTTAAATCTCACTCTGTGCTCAGAGATCTTGAAGCTCAAATATCCAATTGACTCAGGAGTATGAACTGGAGAGACAACCAGGTCCACAATGTCTTTGAAATCACCAAGAAGTTGCCAGGCTGGTTCATTGATGGGCACTTTCTGTCCAAGCAAAAGTGTAAAAAATCGTAGTAAACTCCAGTTTTCGTGTGCATTTCCACCAATTGTTTTATTGGATGCATAGGCTAGTGGAACAGGGTGGGGGTGATTGGTTCGATCAGTCCATTTATAGGGAAAATCTTCTATCGCCTTGTTCAAAGTGGCCAAAGTAAAATATTTCTTGGAAATGAATACAGTCAGACAGAGAGCTATTTCAACAGGTATTATTCCCTCGAATAAATCATGGACAATGTCTGGAGGAAAACCAGTGGTAACATTGAAATGGGAAAGTTTTTCTGAAAGAACACAGCTTCTCTTAACACCATAACAATTGGCCAAAGAATTTTCCTCAATGGTTTGCAGATGATTTTTGTGATTCTCCTCAGTTCTCCGAGAAAAGCATCCAGCTTCCCTGGCCTGGAAATCTAATTTATCTGCTGTACAAAACCTGCAACTAAATCTGCTGGAAAAACTCTCAACAAAACCAGCAATACCGTGTGCTCCAAGGTTGTCAGCAACAACACACTGCACTGTGCCCTTTAAATGTTTGCCCAACTTTTCCACAAAAACACCCTGTTGTTCTAATGTTATGAGATCCCTTAACAAAGGTTCTAACACTTTTTCATAACCATAGACTTTCACATCATTGGTATTAATCAATGCAGCCAAATGAATAGAGGACAAGGAAGAATGACAACCAGGTGGAAGATTGCCTAAAATCCAATATAAGGCACAGATTTTGTGTCTTCTACGGGATGTTCCAAGTGGATTGCATATTTCAAAATCGTCAACATACAAAATCAAAGAAATCGAACACTCTTTTGAGAGAATAGAATGTCTTTTAAAGAGAAGACCATCCCAAAAAGATCTGTATACCTGCTTATCACTCTCCCTTTGCTGATATTTTTCCTTCAAATTTACAGCCTTATTAAGTATAGTTTCACAGTTTAAAAGTTGCTGCAAAGATTTTAGTATAGGCACATACTGAAAAAACCTTCTATTCTTTCGGTCTAACACATACTCCACTGGTTCAACAACATTAAAGTGTTTTCTATAATATTTCTTCCGTTTCCAAGTGGTTGACAGTGGACCACGGTTTCCTATTGCAGCTTGAATGGGATTCAAAGTGCAAAGTTCAGTGGCCAACTCTTTCACAACTGATTCATCAACTTGGCAATTGCGATCTTGTAAGAAGTGGATTATAGTCTTTTGGGTAACTGGCAGAGAGGCAGTACCAATTAAATATTGCAGCTCTTCTAGAAGCTCATTCACAGCTGCACTTGATACAAGAAAATAATTTTCTAATTTAAGTAGGACTGAGGCAAGTTTTAATTCAATATCTGTCGAAACTGTTGATTCTTCATCAGGAAGTTCTTCAGATGGCAAATCATCATTCAACTGATCAGTAGTACCCGTTTCAAATGATTCTACAACATCATACCCATCAACAATTCCAGGCTTGAAATCATTAAGTGTATGTGGGGTATGCTTCCTCCATTTGTGAGTATTGAAAGCTCCGTAATGATTTGTTTTGTATGAGCAACCAGAAAACATACAATTTACAAATTCATGATTTTTCAAATGCTGCCTGATATGTTGAAAATAGTCTGGCTCAGTAGAATGCAGATTGTTGTCGCAAACATGGCACTTGAGTGTTGAAAATCTATTGTTCTGTGAAGATTGTTGAGCAGAATGGAATTTGCTTAGATGAGTGAGTAGAGCTTTCCATGTATTGCATGTGCATGGGCAATTCTCATGAATACAGGGGTAGGCACGACCCCGCCCATAATGCTGATGATCAAGCTTGTAGTGTTTCAAAAGTTCCGATCTTCTTGAAAATGAATTGTCACAGTCTTTACATTTCCACATGCATGGATAACTGAGGAAACAGGAGATACAAGAGATACCTTTAGTGTACCGAGTAGACAACGCTGTAACTTTTTGTAAGTGATTTGGTAGAAAATTGCTCTGCTTGATGTGTCAAAATCGATTGAATACTACATGTTTGCCAGAGCCCAATTTGAAGGGTGGCCTGATTATAGCGAATACCCTCATGACATTTTTTTTTTTTTTTTTTTTTAACTTACCACAAGCAATGACCATTCACAGGAACATCCACATGGGTAGAACAGTAGGAATAGACGGCTGCTTCCCTGAAGTGAGAAAACCTTTCATTAGTCTTTAATTAGCCATCAAAGTGTCTAAGCTACAAGAAGATCATTGACATATTAAAAATATATCAAACATTAAACTTAAATTCGTTACTCAAAGCCTATACTTTATTTTAGGACAGTGGTCAACATTTTGGTGATGTAAAAATATATAACACAATGTTGTAAACTAACGTTACATTTACAATATCTTTATCAATTGAACTCGAAAATTCAAATATAAGTCGCTCGTCAATATGAAAGAAGCCCACTTACTCTGTCCTTAAATTGAAGTTTAACACCAGAATTTCTACTCTGGTAATAAATACAAATTCATAGTCTTATCTATTTATTTACAATAGAAAACATGAAGCCCGCCTGTTCATACTGTTTACAGGCCACCAAGCCTCAGTTAAGAAAAGTTAAAGTTGATACTTAATGTTTGTGTGAGTATATCTGCCTTTGAATCTGGCCATGACTCATGCCGAGCGCTGCTAACGCTAACGCTAATGCTAGCATGCTTTATTCAAAAATTGACTTTAGCCTTTAGTCGAATTGGAGTCATGGGTACAGTCCGCTAGCTCAGTTAAGAACATTTAACGTTACAGTTAATGTTGTGTTGAGAAGTATATGCTCTGCTGAGTGTTCTTCACTGGATAATGTGTGGTCTGAATAAAGCATGCTAAACGTTAGCGCATGCTAAACGTTAGCGCAAGCTTTTACAGCCTACTCAGTCAGAGTCACGGCCAGACACACGTAGGCTAACGTTTCCCATAAATAACGTTACCTTTTCTTAACTGAGCTACCGGACTGTAGTAACGTTAGCCACCCATAACTCCAAGCGGGCTAAAGCTAATCTCTGAATAAAGCATGCTAGCGTTAGCTTATAAGGGCTATCAACAGCCGGTCAGAGTCAACGGAAGATATACTCAGACAAACGTTAATGTTTCGGTATGTGAAATTATATTATATATATATTAATATTATTTTATCCTTACCAGTATCACATGTGCTCGTTTTCCAAGTGTCTGGATGAAGTCTGCTGGTTAGCTCCACCGAACTGCGAAAGACAGCGCGTGTACTGCCAGAACATTCTGTGTGCGGTGTCATCAATGCAATGCGCATGCACAAATTAAGCTTGATTTAATAAAACTACATTGAACAAATGAATGGTTTCAGTTTCAATGTCCTTCTGTCAGTTTATATTCTATCAATATAAAAC